GAATGTATGAGTAACTGCTTTGTCTACGAACCACCGATGCGTCACTGAAATTTGAAAGTCTGTCTGTCGTCCCACATGACACAATGGACCTGATTAGTCTATTATTGACCACCTAGTATTCTTAGTCAATCCGCGTGCATATGCTATGTTCGAAAGGCCGCATGTGCACCGGAAACTAAAGTGAGATTCCCATCCATAACGAGATTCTTCATGGAAATTTATTTTTCCCTTTTTACACTGAGAACATTTACAGTGGTCAGCCAGATTCGAAATCAATATATCCAGGTCGACAAGCCTCGTGTTATTCGCTTCACCGCAAGTATTACCAGATACTGCAGAATTCGTTGGCAATATTTTTCTTTTCGACATCATGTTCATCCTGTATGTTGAAGTTGTGTCATCAGCCTCCAGTGACAGTATAGTGGTGTCCTCATCGTCAGCATTCAAGGTAGTTACGGTGGTGTCTTCAGTCTCCAGTGTGGTGGAGCAGATGTCACTTGGGTTTTCACTCGACTTGTCTGTTGTCGACTCGTTCGACTTTGTTCCATAATGGGACTGTGTTTCGTAGTTAAAAAATACGGTTTCTGCTATTCAGAAACTTGCAGGTTTCGCCTGTCATTGGAACACTCTTTTTCCAAAATAAACTTGGTCAAAACAAAATAAATGAACAGTAATATATAGTAGAGAAAAGCGATCCAATGTTTATTTGCGGGATTAAGCTAATTACAAATGTTATTGTTTTGGCTCAGAGGGGCTTAGCTGAAGTGCACATTCCCGGGGTTTCCGTTAATTGTAAATTATTTTTTATTTTTTAAAAAGCCGTTTTTTTCTTGATATAAAAACGTAATTTAATAAAAAAGCAAGGTATATGGCTGCCTATAGGTACAAGTCACCATTTAATAAAAGAAAAAAAAATTAAGAAAAAAATCACCACGAAAGTCTACTACATCCTTAAAATGACCGACATCATGTATCTTATCGTCAAACAGAACTTGTCCATATTGAGAAATA